GCCGATGTATCAGCTGAGGTCACCTGGGTAGTTTCTCTTCTCCGTGAGCTGGGTTTACACACTGGCGAGCCGTCCACACTCTGGTGCGACAACCTAGGTGCTACCTATTTGTGTGCCAATCCGGTCTTCCATGCTATGACTAAGCATGTGGAAATTGATTTCCACTTCGTTCGGGACAAGGTGGCTTCAGGTGACTTGGTTGTCAACTTCGTCTCCACGAAGGATCAGCTCGCGGATATCTTCACTAAACCGTTGCCGGGTCCCCGGTTTGCAGCTCTGCGTGACAAGCTCAACATTGTAGCCCACCACTCTTGAGCTTGAGGGGGTGTATTAGCAATATTATTATTTGTATTATTAGTTTGACTACTCTTTATGTTAGACTAGTTATTTATGGCTTTCCTAATTCATAGGATTAGTTTACGCTGATGTATTTAGGAGATAGTTCTGTAATCTCTATTCTATTGGAATTGAAACTGTGATCTCTTATCTCATCAATTTCACCCTCCCAATAGTTTTTGCATGCATGCAAATTATGTACGTTACACACCCCTCCTCCCCCCCCCCCCCTAGTAGTTTTTCTATGAGAGCGTGTTAATTCTTTTTGGCTAATTTCATCAACATAAAATACATGGTGAAAATTACGTTACAAATGCACACAGAAGAAATGATGCTAACTTCATCCTCTCAAAAGTTTTTGTGTAAAAATGAATTAAATCTTTTTTATCAACTTCATCAGTATAGGATACATGGTGAAAATTACGTTACAAATATACACAAAAAAAAAATGATACTAACTTCATCCTCTAAAAAAAATTGTATGAAAATGAGTTAAATCTTTTTTTTCAACTCCATCAACATTGCACACATGGTGGTACAAAAGTGATTAGTGTCATATTCAAAGTGACGTGGATACTTAACTTGGTAGGTATTAAAAAAATATAAAAAATTCCGATTATATAAAAGTTTTTTCTTTTTTAATTGTGAAAAATTCCACCCTCGATAGTATAAATTGCCAAGCAGATACACTATGACTATGCCAGATGGCTTCTTCTCACTATAGTTTCTAACGCCTCTTAGCTCTCTCATGCATTACCATTTGTCCATTTAAACTCCGTACCGTTTCCTTCTCAAACTTCATCGACAGTTTCCGGAAACTCTTCTTTGTTAGTTCCAAAAACCCAATCTTAAAATCCGCTAAGAAATTAAACTAAAACGTTGTTGCCCTCTGTTTTTCTGGTAGCCATGGTGGTTTTGTCTCAGCCAATTCTTGAGGATTTCTCGCTGGTCAAAGCGTGCAAATCCAACACGGCGGCGTTCGGCGGGATTCCGGTGATAGATCTTCTTGACCCGGAGGCTAAAACCCAGATTGTGAAGGCTTGCCAGGAGTTTGGGTTCTTCAAGGTGGTCAACCATGGAGTTCCCATGGAGGCCATGGCGAAATTGGAAAGTGAAGCTGTGAAATTCTTTGGTTTGCCCCAGCATGAGAAGGATAAAGCTGGGCCCCCTACCCCCTACGGGTATGGGAATAGGAGGATTGGGTCCAATGGCGATGTGGGTTGGATTGAGTACCTCCTCTTCACCACCAACCCTCAACTCATTTCCCAGAAACCCATTACCATTCCTGGCAATTCTGAGCTTTTTTGGTAAGTTTTCAGTTTTCAAATTAAAAGTTTCTGTTACGAGCTATAGCTTTTGGCATAGTGGTAAGCGTTTGATACTAAAATTTGTGGGTTTGTTTGTAGGGGGCTTGTGAATGAGTATACTGGGGCTGTGAAGAACATGGCGTGTGAGTTACTGGAGATGATGGCTGAGGGGTTGAAGATTGGGCCAAAAAATGTGCTGAGCAAGCTGATCAGGGATGAGAAAAGTGATTGTTGCTTCAGGGTAAACCACTATCCACCATGCCCAGATTTCCAAGCATTGAGTGGCAGAAATCTGATTGGTTTTGGAGAGCACACAGACCCACAAGTGATCTCTGTTGTCAGGTCCAATGACACCACAGGCCTGCAAATCTCCCTCAAAGATGGCACTTGGGTCTCGGTCCCCCCTGACCAGTACTCTTTCTTCATCAATGTTGGTGATTCCCTCCAGGTAACTATTGATTTGGTAACCATAGGTTTACAATCTTCTCCTCATAACAGGAGCGACCTATTAGTCTTTTTAGTTTGAGTCAGTCAGTTATAATAGTTTAAGCTGGTTTATCTTTTTGTGGTCATTTGTCAGTTAGGATCACAAGTTAAGATTTATCCAGTACATATTCTCAAATAATGGTTGCTGGTTTAACTTTTTGTACATAGTCCTTTGTCAGTTAGGTTCACAAGTCACTGATTTGGTAACCACTAGGTTACTGCTTCCACCTCCTAACCAGAGCAGTCTATTAGCCTTTTTGATTTGAATAAGTCCGTTATGATAATCTAGGTTAGTTTATCTTTTTGTATCGGCAAAGGTTACGATATCTAGGACACATCCTCAAATAATGACTGTTGTAGCTGAGTTAACTTTTTATGGTCCTTTTATTAGTTAGTCACTAATTTGAATTTATTCAGTACATATTTTCGAATAGTGACTGTGAATTTTCTGGTCGTCAAAAAATTTCTGACAAGCCTGATTTTGGCAGGTGATGACTAATGGGAGGTTCAGGAGTGTGAAGCACAGGGTGCTGGCAGACAGCCTGAAGGCCAGGGTGTCCATGATATACTTTGGAGGTCCACCTTTGAATGCAAAGATTGCAGCTTTATCTTCCCTTATGGAAGAAGGGGAAGAGAGCCTCTACAATGAATTCACATGGCATGAATACAAGAAATCTGCTTACAAGACAAAGTTGGCTGACAACAGGCTTTCCCTGTTTGAGAAGAAGAACAATCCTCCACTGCATTGTAATAACCCAACTTCTGTTAATTAGAAAACATGTAAAACTTTTTAGATTTCGCTATATATCTATATATATGCAGGGGGGATTTCCAGATTTTTCTGGGAATTTTTACCCCATACCCTGTCTGCAAGACATGGCTAGTTATGTAAAAGCTATCGACCATGTATATAGGTATTTCGGTTCCTATGTACTATATAATACATAGTATTGTATTTAGTAAAACCCAAAGAAGATTATAGTTATTTTTCGTTTTTCTTTTTTACTTATTAAGTTTGGGCTTGAGAGTGGGATTTAGCTAATTTTATATAGCTTGAGTAGTAACAGCGTTGTAAATATATAAGCAGTTTATATTTTTAGTTGTAACATATCACTACATATCTTTTAATTTGATAAGATCTATACGAAAAGTCATGGGTTCAGCGTAAGAAATTATTATAAGAAATAAAATAACACGATCGTTAAGCAATATATCTATGACTAGCTCAATTGATGGGGGATAGATTATGGAATAATGTCGTAAGATGTGACAGTAGAAATTACACCCAATTAAATGCCGTGGTTGACTTGTAAACACTATGCATTGGTCCTCTAACTTAAAAGGATAATCCCATCAAAAACTCTCTTCTCATGACTATTAATACAAACAATTACAAAATAATTGCTTTTCAATTACGAAAAAGTGGTTTAAAAAAAATAAAAAATTATCATTTTGATCTCTCAATTGTTTCCTAATTGTCAATGTAGTCTCTAGTTTTCAATTTTAACTAATTTGATAATCGAATTGTTTAAAATTTTGTCAATTAAACCCTTCCAAGGGACCAAAATGATAATTTTTTCATTTTTAAAATTTCATCAATTTGATCATCGGAGAGTTAATTGACAAAATTTTAAATTATGTGAGAATCAAATTAGTCGAAATTGAAAAGTATAAATTACATTGACAGTTAGAAAACAATTGAGTACTCAAAATAATGATTTTAAAAAAAACAAGGACATGCATTGAGAAAGTATATGAACAGATACTACATTGTAGTAGAGTCAGTAACATTCAAAAAAAAAAAAAAAAAAAAAAAAAAACTCTATTGAGTTTTTTTAATTAATTCCAATTGGGTTGCTTCTTTTTAGGTGTACTAACCAGTTACTACTGTACTTCACCTGTAAGCATAGTACATCGCAACATTTGGCACTGCCGAATTCATGTTGATTACTATAATGTTCTATTGAGTTTTAATAAAAAGAAATTATATAATATATATTTTTACACGGTATTTTTGTCGCAACTAATTAATAATAATTTATGAAAAAGGACAGAAATGACAAAATAATTATACTAATAGTGGGAAACTAATTAGTCCATGTCAATGGTGTGTCTCCACCTTTCTTATACTACACTCATTGAGAAGTCAAAATCTTTGGAGTTTAAGTTGACCATCCAATCCCTGTCCCAATCCGACATACTGTCTCTGACTTCAACATTCTATTTTGCATTCATCAACTCAGTCTTGATTGCGACTGCGGCCTCCTTTTCTGAAGGTTTAACGTTTAATTTGTATACCTTAATATATTGTTCTAATTTAGGATTCTTAATAAAGTTTTAATTTGTGTTTTAATTTAGGATTCTTAATAAAGTTTTAATTTGCAGAGCATGTAGGTTTATATATGATCTTATAGTTTACTCTTTCCTTAATCAACAGTTATGGTTTGGTATAGCCAATAACTAACAGTCCGTTTGGTTCAATTCGCTGGAAAATATTTGAAGGAAAATGGATTTGAAATTCCATGGAAAATAAATTCCAAGAAACTTGATTCAATTGTTTGGTTAGTGAAAAAGAAATTACTGGGAATATAGATTCCATTGTTTGGTTGGGTTTAGAAAGATAAGGAATAATGAATCTAAAGACCAATATGTCCTTAAAAAGATGAATGCATAAATAGGTGCCTATGTAATTAAAAAACTTTCATAAGGGTAAAATGGTACACTCATGTTATTTTTCTTCCCAATCCATGTGGAAAACAAAATCCCACCCCTTTGCAAAGAATTCATTTTCCTTAAGGGGGTGTTTGGTTGGATGGAAATCAAATTCCATGGAAAAGATTTTCCATGAAATGTAGGAAAATGTTGTTTTACCTTGTTTGGTTGGATGGAAAATCTTTTCCATGAGAATTTGACTTCCCAAAGGTGAAGGAAAAGAAAATCCTACCTAAACATTGGTATTTTGTTTTCCAAAGGAGTTGGGAAGAAAATATAGTACTATTAGACTATTTTGCCCTCATCAAAATTTATTAACTACACAGTATAAATTATTGTTAAGGGCATATTGGTCTTTATATTCATAATTTCTTACTATTCCAAACCCAACCAAACAATGAAATTCATATTCCCAGTAATTTCTTTTTCACTAACCAAACAATGGAATCTATTTTCCTGGTAATTTGTTTTTCATGAAATTTGAATTCCATTTCCCTTCAAATATTTTCCAGCGAACCAAACGGGCTGTAAGTTTGAGAAATTCATTTTCCAATGGAAAATGTTTTCCATCCAACCAAACAACATAAAATAACATTTTTCTTCACTTTTAAGAAAACATTTTCCATGGAAAATGTTTTCCATCCAACCAAACACCCCCTAATAGATAGTCCTAAATGGGGAGCTTAGCCAATTGACATCATTCATCATGTGTGTATAAGTGCAAATTATGCTGTAACCGTGTGCATCATGCATGGTGCACACTGTTTTATGTTCATAATTATAAAGTTATATAATCATAATTTTTGAACTTCATATTCATAATTATATTATTGAACTCTATATTCACAATTACAGAACTCTATGTTCATATTCTCAATTGTTGAACTCTGTATTCACAAATCACAGAACTATATGTTCATAATTTGAATCTACTGTATTTAAATTATGAATCTACAGTATAGAAATTATAAATCTACTGTATTTAAATTATGAATCTACGGTTTAGAAATTAAGAATCTACAGTATAGATTTTATAAATCTATAGTATAGAAATTATGAATTGGAACCATGTGCACCTTGCATGGTGCACACGGTTGCACAACATAACGTTTCGTGTATAAGTGTATATATACATTAAGTTAATAATATTTGCTCACCATACACCTATTATTTACTCACTTAAACACTTATGACCTATTTTTAAGGGTGTCCATTATGTTAATAACCAAACTGAATTAACTAAATTTATAAATGTTTTAATCATTAATCAAACTGAAATTCCTATTTCTGAATTAATGGAACTGATGAAAACCTTAGTCAATTTTGTTTTTTCTTTTTAAACAAAGTCAAAGATGAATGATCGTTTTTCAAATGATCGAGAAGCAACTAATGGGAAATTGTTGAATCGTTGAAGCTTGATTGTGAACATATTTTTGCTATATGATTCTCATGCCGGCCTTGTGGCTGAAAGAAAAGTAGTGTGAATCCGCAGCCTGAAAATGACAAGCACAAACTAGTTTTAGTTTTAGTAAAAGGTTTTGTGAAATGGTCCAATGTTCGTACACAAAAACAATAATAGAAAGTGTGATGATCTGAGGTTTCTCTGTTACGCAATAGTAATAATATGTAGCCAATTAAGTTGCCATCCATAGGGCACTGGCCGCATAAATTGGCTATATGTTTCAATGGAATAGGCTTTAATTTGCACAGTTGATAAAGACTTTGAGGACATAGTATTTGATTTAAAGTGTTGGAAGAAACTTTAATTTATTACGGATTTGATGAATTGACGACTTTAAAAAAAATATTTTTTTAAATATCTCTTTAAAAGTATATTATGTTTAATTTGCTGAAAAATGGGTGGTATCGTTCTGGAGTTCTTGAGAATGAATTTAATTTTACTTTTTATTACTTTTTTTTTTTTTTAATGTGAAATGAAACAAAGAAAGAAACACAAATCTGGAAAGGCAACACCTATAATGTCAACAAAGAGTAACAAGGTTAGGTTCTCTGGAGAGTTTTTTGAACACTTAAAGATTCGTATAGGACGGGTCATGATTATTTGATTTGGTATCGAATATGCACAAATAAATGTTTGATTTCATATGAATTTACCTGCAACAACAACTCCAGTCACATCTAATGAGAGCCATAATAGGTGAAGTAAATGAAAATTGAGATCTCTAACATATTATTGACTTGCCTAACCTTTTGAATAGTCCACCAAGGATGCAAGGAGTTACTTTCCAGCTCAATAGTTCGAAAATAGTTGCTTCTTCTTTAGGGGAGTATACCATGACACCATATTAAATTTATAATATATTTTAAATTAAATATGAAATTAACATTCACTTCTTCCATTTATAAACTCTCCGAGTCTAAAATAACTGAGCAAAAAAATATATATATATTCTAATCGAACGTAATAAGAGCATAAAGCCTTCACCAAATCCATGTAATAAAATCCGTTTATATACATAAAATTCAATTAATATATACAAAGAGATTTAGAATTTTAAAGTATTATATTCATATAAGAAAATTTTGAAATCTAATTCAATCACATCTGAATTTTTGGACATTCTCAAAGTGATTGAAACTCAAGGAATTGAAAGGAAAAGACAACTAACAACAACATGCACTAAAACATAATGAGTAGATAATTCCTATTACTAAAAAAAATTGAAAACTTTTAAGGAAGTGCTATTACTATATAACTCATTAGCTTAATTCAAAGGTCAAATGTTCAATTTGTTCATAATGAGATATGTCCAAATATTATTTCAAAAGAAAAAAAGAAAAAAAAAAGATATGTCCAAATAAGACAGAGTTTTTTGCACTTTTGGTCCCACGACTATAGTGACACTAGCAGAATTGATCCACGACTTTTAAACCTTGCAATTTTAGTCCACGACTATTGATTTTTTTGCAAAAATGGTCCTTCCGGCCACTTTTCCGTCAAAATTTCACCGGAAATTTTTTTTTATCCATTTTTAATAGGGCTAAAATTGACATTTTACTTATCTCAAAAAATAAAAGAAAAAAATTGACATTTGACTACATACAATATTACTGGGCTACATACTACTGCCCCAGGCGGCGGAGTTCCTGGAGCAGGTAGGGCTGTCAGTAAGCGGCGGAGCGGTCGTGGCGTTCCCTGGGCTAGTTGGATTATCCGGCAGCAGCATTGGAGGCGGAGCCAGCACGCCTGTGGGATCATCCGAAGACATCGGAAAAGCTTCGTTGTATAGATTTCCGGCGAGAGAAGCGGCGGAGATTCTCAAATGCAATCACTTTTACCTTTCCGTTTTATGTATTTCCTTTATATTTTGAGATAAGTAAAATATCAATTTTAGCCCTGTTAAAAATGGATAAAAAAAAAATTTCCGGTGGAATTTTGACGGAAAAGTGACCGGAAGGACCATTTTTGCAAAAAAATCAATAGTCATGGACTAAAATTGCAAGGTTCAAAAATCGTGGATCAATTCTGCTAGTGTCAATAAAGTCGTGGGACCAAAAGTGCAAAAAACTCAAATAAGACACAAGTTTCAACCAGAAAAGTTATTGACTGTTTTCTTGGGTGGGCAAGTAAAAGTGGTCCAAGTGGCAACACATTATTCCAATTCTAGGAATGCAATATATATATATATATATATATATATATATATATATATATATATATATATACATACACCATGTAATCTCATTCAAAGAGTAGAAAATTCTGAAATCCTTTAAAATTTTTAGTATAGTGCATCTTTTCAAAAGTGAAATATTTTACTCATATCGTTTTAGTTGAAAAAAGAATATATATTTTACTCATATCGTTTGTAGTTTCGGCCATATATGGCCGAAACATGTCCAGTACTTTCGGCCTTGTGGTCGAAATGTCCTGAACAGGCCGAAAGTTTCGGCCTTTGGGCCGAAACTGGGTGAGGTCGAAAGTTGAGACCGAGCCCTGTACGCTAACGGTCTGGAACCCGAAAGTTTTGACTGTTATGGGGGTTGAATTCATCTGTTACGGAATTAATATCCTATTAACTCCAATTTTGAATTCTGAATTCAATTCTCAGGTAGTGGCCTGCTGTTATAGCTGTTGGAGAGCCAGCTTTAAAGTGCCCTAATAAAAGCTATTTAATCCTTTAACCTTATATAAGAGAGGGTAGAGGCAGTAGAGAGATACAAAAAAAAAAAAAAAAAAAAAAAAAAAAAAAAAAAAAAAAACACGAAAGTTCATCATTTTTAGCCTCAAAACCTCTCTGTTTCTACTCCTTCTTCAAGCCTTACTGTGTTCGTAACCGTGTCTTGCTCGCCGGATTCCTTGTTTGAGTGCTCAAATATTGAATCACTAGCAAGTTTTATCCTGGGAAGCCTAGGCCACAACGCTCCTAGCATCTTTGGGAGGTGGCAAATAAGGTTTTAAGGAAAGAGTGCTCACTTGACTCTTGCAAAAACCCAACACCAAACACTAGCCAATTTTCTTCATCTTTTCTTCCATCCTTTCCAGAAAATAATAGTCATATTTTATTTGATTATTATTTGTTTTCTACCAACGGTTCCTACACTATATAATAAGAAGAATTTTATGATATATTATAAATGTTTTGTAAGAAAATTGTAAATGATAAGAATCAAAATCATTGAAAGTTTGTAAGGATGTATTCAATTTAGAATTTCAGTGATTTTTGTAGACTTTTTAAAATAAAAAGTTGATAAAAGTCTATGAATATTTTTTATACAGACTTTTATAGAGTTTTAAAAAGTTTTGAAAGACTCTATGAAAGTAAATCAAAGTTTATTAAAATCTATCATTTTAAAAGTCTTTAAAACTCTACAAAAGTCATGATTGAATACACCCCTCTAGGTTAAAAGATCACACGTTTTTGTTTCCATCCCGGCGGGTAGCCCCCCTCAAAAAAAAAATAAAGGAATAAGGGTCAAATAGGTCATCGAATCGCACACAATAATGCAATTAGGTCACTGAACTCAAATAAGTTACAATTAAGTCCCTAAACAAACTCATTTCAAATAATTTGTCCAATTTGCAAGTTGTTCCATTTCTAACAAGTCACTAAATTTAAAATATTTTTTAAAAATAATTTTTTAAAAAAATTAATTAAAATAAACTAAAATTACAAAAAAAAAAAAAAACAAAAAAACAAAAAACAAAAAAAAAACAAACTTCGTCTCCGAGAACGTATCTTCGTCTCCGGCCATGGAGACGAAGGGACCTTCTTCTCCATAGCCGGAGACGAAGATCAACTCTTCGCCTC